TGTATGTGAGTATAAAGGGATTGGAAACTGCGTGGGCAGCCTGTATAAACTAATGGAGGACAAAGGTATCACTTCCCGCATCCTAGTTTCTCCTTAGCAACGGGAGAGGTCCACATTTCTCTGTTCATAACTTAGTCCCAGTAGTTGCAAAAAATCAACAAAAATATGCATAAAATACCTTATAACTTCTATATTTATCAAATCAAATTTCATACAGTTACTCAAAAGTAACAAACTGTTTCATTCATGACTAACAGCGTGTGTCAAGTGGGACCTCTTTTCTGATGTTCTGTACCTTTTACTAAAATGTCTCTTGTTTTACAACAAAGTAGCAAGCATAGAACAATCAAGCGCTTTGAGTTGTGTGTAACTAGGGTATTCTCAGACTTGTAGTTCATACATCTTCTCCAGAAACTCAAATTTTGTGTTGTAAAAGTGACAAAGTTTCTGTACCTTTTTCTCCAAAACAGTACATATTTAAGCTAGGAAAGAAACACATGCAACAGGTAGCATATTGCTTTAGTGAACTGGCTAGTAATTGTATTGATATGTTCTTTTGAAATTTTATAAACCTGTCATTCTCTGGCAAAATTTGGCTCTTCTCCTTCGACTTTTGCATTGTAATTATTGAATGCGGAAAATTAGAATCTATACGGTGATAACTATCACCTACGCAGTTACCAATCTCTTTAAACTCTATTATCTATGGTAGTGTTTGTGTCTGTGTTTATGTCATTGTATGTTTTGTGTTGTTATATAGTTAAACATGGCTTATAATGAACATTTTAATATTTCCCTAGTTTTTTTATGAATGGCTAGCATATGGCAAGATTTTATTATTTTCCGCTAAAATGTAGTTGTCAATCAATTGACTTGTGTATTTATGTGGATGCTTGTGCATTTTGAGTCATCTCAAAGCTATTGCTACTTCTAATATTCACTATAAGGTGGGTAGCTAGTCAGGGAAAGCAGTAATAATAGTTAGTAGTGGGGCATTCATGTTGGAGCTGCCATATATTATAGAGGTATAGTAATCTTAGATTTTATGATTTTGATTTCCTTTTCGTTTTATTGACTGAGCTTCTTAACATAAATTTAAAATAGTTTAATTAGGAAAAGGAAGAGTACTATGTGTGTATATATAAGACAGTAAGAACTATAGCAGGCTACAGTATAATCAATAAAACATGTTAGCTTATACATATTACATACATACATACATACTTTCTGAGACAAATTCAATCATGCATATTATCTTAATACTAGCCATGGCTTTGTCTTTGGTGTAATCTTTACACTAACTCTGAAGTACAAACTATCATCTTTGAGATACTGGCAATTAGTAGCTGGATCATATTCTAACTCTTCATGTGATATGAACTTCTTACCCCATCCTGTGTTTCTGCCTTCCTTCACTCTTTGCTTAGATATATCTGGTGTTGATTCATTAAATGATAAGGTACATTTCTTATGATTTTTATCCTCCAGTTCATTCAGTAGTTCTATAGTAACTTCTCCTTGAAATGGCCACTCCAGTATATCATCATATTCTCCTGCCATGAGATATATGAAGCAAGAGACGTGTGTACCTTTACCGTCACGATCTCCATTAACATCAACACGTAGTGACATCTTATATCCTCCTGGTGATGTGTAGAAGCCTGGACTGAACCATATCTCATCTCCTTCTTTCTTTTCTCTGTATTCATTTAGCTTCAAGACATGGTTGGTTGGAAGTAGTACCTGTAGTACCTCAATCTTCTTCATTGCTATATCAAGGTGTTGTTTCATTGATTCTTCATTGTGCTTCTCTTGTTCTTCTCTCTTCATTTTCTTATTACATCCAACAGTATTGTATTCACATGGTATGATAGCTTTAGGGCAGGTCTCATTGTGTGATGCTAGTGAACATCGTGGTACCTTCTCATTGCAACCTTCATTACTGCATTGGATTGGGAGGTCAGTACATTCCTTAGTATGACTGCTACTTGTTATCAGTTGGTGTGTGCCTCTTTCTTTGCAATACTGACAGTTAATCATTCGTTTAGGACAGTTGTTTATCAGATGTGTCATCAGTTTACTTCTCCTCATCTTCGCTCCACAATTAGTACAAGGTACCAGTTGATAGGTACAGCTATTATTAAGATGAGTATCAATATCCTTAATAGTCCCCATCCATTGGCACCCACTATCAGTGTTAGTACAATAAACCTTAAGTGACTTTATTTCCCTTTCTGCTCTTCCATCTTTAAAGTACTTTCCTTCTAGTGAGCTACGACAAGTTGGGCAGATAAACCCTTGGCCCTTCTCTTTTAGTGTATCCAGACAGCTCTTACAGTATATATTGGAGCAACAGGTAACTTGTCGAGGATCCCGTGCTACCAGTGTACAGATATGGCACTGATACTCATCCCTAGGCTCACCAGTCACAAACTTAAACTCATATCCACCTTGATAGTCATCACATGTAGCCATTGTTTAGACCATGTG